ACTCTGGTAATCCAGACCCTTCCTCTGTGCAGCAAAAGACATCATCTGAGCGGGTCAGTAAGGACAATGAGGTCATACGCTGTAGTCTGCGACATACCTTGTTCACGTCTCGGAGGACGACGCTGAGACTGAACTGCACCTCCTCAACGTCAAGCCGTCCTGACTCAACTTTCGAAAAGTCCAAAATGTCGTTGATTACCGTCAAGAGACTGTTGGCGCTTCGATGAATGTTCTCGGCACATTCTTTCTGTTCCTCGTCCAGGTTCATATCGAAGAGGAGTTCAGACATGCCAATTACGCCAGCAATAGGTGTTCGGATCTCGTGTGACATGTTAGCCAAGAACTGCGACTTCATCCGACTTGCTTCTTTCGCTGCCGCTTCGTTGGCCAGGAGCCTCGAATTCTCCTTCTCTTGCTCCTTGAGTTGTTCTTCTCTTTCTCGCAGCTCGGTTATATCCATGGAAACACCGATCACACCATTCACAAAAGTATTGCCGTCGACGCCTGCAGTCCTGGAAGTGCTCATGAGCGGTACTAGACGGGTCCGGTAGTAGCGAGCTTCCGACATGTATCTGCCGTTCACGACCTCAGCTGATTGTTTTCCCTGTAGGATCTCCTGAATAGGTCCATGCCATCGCGCTCGATCATTGCCGCGCAACTCAAAGACATCGAAAACATTTTTTCCAACCAATTTGTCCTTGTTGGTTCGTTCGGTAGCGGCCATATCGCCTTCCAGGACCTTGACCTCATTGTTGCGATCAATAACCCAGAGGACGATTTTCGCGTGCTGGATGACCTGCTGCAATTGCTCTCTTGTTTGACGAGCCTCTTGACGAGCCAAGACAAGATCGTGGATATCTGTACATGTGCCGAACCACTTGACTATGCGTCCGGAGTCGTCGTAAAAGGGCAAAGCTCGTCCTAACATCCAGCGCCACTCTCCATCATAGCGCTGGCATCTGTATTCTGTGTTGTATTCTTCGCCTGTCTTGAGGGAGTGGAACCAACGTTGAGCAGTTGCTGCCATGTCATCTGGATGGAACGGTAGGCGCCAGCCTTCGCCTATTGATTGATCGACTGTCAACCCTGTGTAGTCATACCACCGTTGAGAGAACCAGTCGTGGAGCCCATCAGGCGTAGTCGTCCATACCATGACCGGCATGAAGTTTGCAATATACTCAAACTGCTTCTCGTTCTCTTCAATCTGGGCGGCAATTTGCTTGGTATACTCGGTGATATCCTTGAAGATCACTATACCACCAAGGAAATCCCCAGTCTCTTCGTGGAATACAGGCTCGCCGTTGATCTCATATACAATTCGAGTACCTGTGAGCGGATGTCGCATACCGATGCGCCGTCCTCCGACTCTCTCTCGTGTACGGCAGACCTCAATAATGGGGAACTCATCGAGGTTGAGAAGGCGCTGGAAATCTTCGGTCCAACAGTTGAACTGGCTGAGAAAATCTAGCTGATCTCCGGGCGCATAGGTGGAATCTTTCGAAAGTAGCCGCAGGAGGGCTTTGTTTGGAATTCCGAAGCTTTGGTCTTTCCACATTGCTGTAAAAGAGTCAGTCGGAGAACCTCAGGTAGGTGTGGAATCATACATACCGTATGCGGGCATGGTAATAGAGTTCAGGATAGCATCCTTGAGTTGTGTTGCCTTTTGGAATATAGAGGCTGAATTTGCAATGTCGGCCTTGCCCCTAGTAGGAGGACCTCGGGGTGGAAATTCTGGCTGCTGTAGAGTAGGCGTAACGGCTTTCGAAGTCGAATTCGAACTGCTTCCCGAACGCCGGCCTGAGGAAGAGCTCGACGAACCCGAACTTCGTGACTTGTCGAGGCGAGCTCCTGTGTTTGTACGAGTGACTATACGACTGGTGGGTGGTGGCGCACTATCAGCAGCTACTGCACTTGTGAAAGTCAGCGTGTAGTATTGATTATCATCAATGCTCCAGATGGATATGATGCAAGATGCCTGCATTGCATTTTCGTAATCTTTCTTCCTTTCTTCCTTTTTCAAAGTGCCGTCGGGATCCAAAGAAAGCGGCGCAATGACCACCTCTACTGATACGTCGCGTACCATTGTTCGCGCAAGGTTTGTACTGCTCAGGCGCGGCAATGGTTTTGTTGACTTGGGTTCTCCTCGAGATGGCATAGTCGCTGCGGTCGGTGTAGTATGGCCGCTGCCCATATGAGAATCTCCATCTTCGTCTAAGCTGCTTGCTATTGAGTCGTCGATTACGCAATCCAGAAAGCTCTACAAAAGTTAAATGATTAATCCATGTGCAAATGCATGGGCTAAAACGAACCTCCCATGTGATCAGAATTGGAGAGCCGTTCTGTAGAATATCTACACCAAGATCACCCATAGTCTTGTCCTGCAACGCTTCCGCTATTGAAAGATCATGATCACCTTCCAAGTCAATACCAAAAAGGCGACCCATGGCCTCGTTTGCAAGCACTACGGTCTTCTGGGCAGATAAGACAAGAACCGGTACTGGCAAGTACTGAAGCGCAGTAAATGCAGCCATGGTGGCTGACGGCTCTGTGAGATGGATTGACATTGAGTCGCTACGAATCGAGCTGGGAGACGCAGATCTGGAGCGAGAGCGCTCTCCCATAGGAAAGTAGCCGCCATCGCCGCTGTCGGTCTCTGTCATCATGATCACGGTGGTGTGGTGGCGCGAGTATTATGGCCGCGTAGGGTTGTGATGCGACTCGTGTATCCGCGAACCGTGGCGACCGCCGAAGATAGAGCCGATTCCGAGCGCCTCAACCAGACCAGTCAACAACATGGAGTAAACGCCGTATCCAGATCATAAGAAGTTTCGCGCGCAGCCGTATTCGAGATCGGGAGAGAGAAGTGCGAGTTTGCGGCGTGGAAAGATGTTGGGCGGTGTTTGTCGACGCGCTTCGGTGATCGCTATACGAGGGGTCGATCGGTAAGTCTAGACCCTGACAGACGCTACCAAGGTAATAACTACCGATGCTGCGAAAAGTGAATCGAGAGAGGCGACAGGCACACAAAGGCACCACCAGGAAAACGTATGAGTGAAGGTCAGAGATGTCGCGAAGTTCTAGAATCACGCTTCCGGGATGCCGGGTGCTATAGCAATGACGCAAATTTGGCAGGTGAAAGAAGTCGACGCACCTTTGAGACGGCGCGCGTCCGTAGCGGCCATGGGGAATATGCCCGAGCTCTGCCATTCGACGGAACATGGTTGTCGGTTGTTTGGCGCGAGATCTGGGGGGTCGATTCCTTTGGCTGATGCGACGTCGATCATTGTGGGCTGAACACTGTTCGGTTAAGGGTCTCCAGGCTACCTGGGTAGGTACCTAGGTACTTCCCCGTCTTGCCTGTATCTTGGACTGGGCATTACATCGTGTGTATTGAACATGTCGACGATTTGGTCTGATAATGATCTCCACTAATTTTAATGGTCTTCTGTTGAGGTTGAGCATAATCGACCGGCGGTCTAGAATGCCGCCCTCTGCAAACGCGATTGACAAGCCATGCACGGCAATCGAGAAATTCCCATGACTACGATGCAAATGTACCTCTTCCGGGATCACGACATTTCACGCACATGTGGAATTGGTACTGAAACAGGCATCCGCACACGGCGCTCCCGTGTCATTTTATCAGGGCGATGTCCTGTCAAGAAGCCCGAGCTGCTTCCAGATACGCTGTTGTAGGCGTTGCGCTTACATAATCCCGATGATGGTGATGTTGAAGCCCAGGACGACAACTGTCTTTCTACTAGGCAGCTACATCGACACCTGCGACTCTCAGCGATACCCCCTTCACACATCGTAGTGCACGACACAACAACACGATCCTGCCCAAGCCTTACAGATGTTCTTCTTCGGGCTCGGCGGACTGTTTACAGGTATTACATGTGAAGTCGCATCTGATAGATTCGCTCGCTAACACGCGCAGTCGCGGTCCTCCTCGTCAACGCCATAGCGATTCTCTCCGAAGACCGCTTCCTCGCACGCAGTACGTTTACCAGGTCCTCATGACCCGCCGCGACCTTTGCGCATCTACGCATCCACTGGCACACGCGAATTACAATTGAGCATCCGACTGACCAGGACATAGTTGGCTGGACAGCATCTGCAGCAGAACCCGGTTTCGGCGGCCCTCGCGACGATGCCAGTATAAAGGCGCGACTGATCAACCTCGTATCCTCCGTACGGACGCTCATGAGGTGTACGTGTACCCCTCCATACCCACGTCCCTTAGAGGGGTGGAAGACAAAGCCAGGACACATTTGCTGACACAATGCAGTACCGTTGATGTTAATCAACACCCTCATGATAATCTATCTACTGGTCCTCGGCTGAGCGCGGCGCATACACGTTACGAACCAAATCCCGACGATTTCGATTAGCATATACACGGCGCAGGAATGGGCGTACGCAAGCGTTTGGCAGTGCACGCTACAAAAGGTTGACTTTATATGATGGAGTTCATGGGGTCAAGTACTACATTGAAGAGCATTTGATATCCCTGCGTGAAGCGAGCCACTTGGGACAGGAAATGGAGGAGAGCACACCCTGATGCGATTGAGCGGGGCTGTTGAATCATAAGATACCACGTCATCCTCCCTTTGGAGTATGCAGAATTGAATCTCACAAATCGCTTTGTCGTTGGATACATGGCCAATGTGATCCGTATAAGCAAACTGGTCAGACGTATGGAAGTGAGAGAATGGAAATGAAGACACATGGAGACTATGTGTAGTTTCAATAAAGAGAAGCGAATATATGCTCCGAGTGTCGCGAATCATGTTGCAATCTACGATCTCTGAGTCTCTAGAGAAGAGTGTAGAACTCGCTTCCCGCCATAGCAATAAACTACCAAAGGGCGAGGTCGTTGTACTCAAATACTACCTCGATTTCTCGATTTCCAGCACAGCGACGAATCCACGCAGATATTTCCTTTTCCGAGTGAAGAGCCCACACGTTTTTCTTGTCCCAAGCAACGCAGCCATGGATCACAACGCGCTCGAGGCCTATCATTGTTTCCAAAACCCAAAGGGCCGCCGATGTACTGCTCTGCACTATATGCATATCAGCCACCGGGATAAACCCACTGGTGAACTCGAAAGATCCTCTACAGACCCTGAACGTGGTTATTGCATCTCTTTGCGCGTTGCTGAGTTTGTTGACGAATATGCCGATATCCTTGGGCAACATCTGGAAAGCATTGAGCTTGAAGGGTAGGAGGCGTGTCTCAGCATGGATCTGACGGCTGACGGCGAGGAGCCACAGATCCGCGGGGAGAGGTAGGCAGCGAATAACATCTATCTCGTAAGGCCCCGAGAACTTGGGGATTTTGGTGTGGCGAAGGGCGTAGGCATAGATTTGGTTGCGGATCTCGACCGGGAGACGCAGAAAGGCCAACTCTCGCTGGTTGCGCGTGGCGCTGCAGCGATATTAGTTATAATTTGGGCAGCGCGAAACTTCCGTAATAACTTACATGACGGCTGCTTCTTGAGCAACTCGAGCGTCCATCGTGGTGTTCCATACGCGATTCAAGCTTCGTGACGAGCAAAACAGAAGGAGCGTCGAAGGTGGTTTCCAAGGTTACGACAACAGTCCAATCGGGCTAGTGAGAGCAAACAGTCCTCTGATGTCATCCATGGATTGCTTCGCAATATCGGAAGGCGCGCCTCTTCTCTCACTTCAAACGACCTTCACCTCTTTAGCCACGGCAGCGCAAAGCTCGACCGTCACTCCCGCCCCAGAGAGCACATGTATCCAAAGCCTCTGTGTATCACTCAAACGGTCGTTCTCACTTTTCACCTCTGCGAACTTGACTTCGCCCTTCTTCCCCTCTTCTTCTGCAACTCGCCAAAGAAACAAATCGGGTACACCGCCACCTCTCTGCCCATACTCTTGCGCCATGACTTTGCACACAGTTGCCAACGCCTCGCCGTCAAAGCAGCGAGCAATTTCAAGCAGGTCCACAACGTCGTATGTCCAGTCCAGACCTACAACGCAAGTCCGACGCTCATGGTGGTCGTCGTAGATTCTCTGGATGATGGCGGGTGCGTCGCCGTTTGATATCTCATTCAACCTCGCGTTGATCTCGGATATCCGAGACGGATAGAAGGCGTCGGTATGTAGGTCCAACGGACAGGTCTGGTACGGAGTCTGGAAGACGTTGGGTACGTACGTGAATAGGACGTTGTAGAACAAGTATGCGAAAAGCGTGCGCACGATACCACCTTCAGCGTGATAGCCTTTCCAGCCTTGGTTGCGGTAATGCGAAAGACACATTGCTTCGACCGAGCATTCGCCGTCCTCACGCGGATCAATCCATATTGTCTTCCCACCCCGTCGGCCCGATTTCGCATGTGGTGAGCTATTCCGTCTCGACAGTGAGGGTCTTTCGCGTTCGATGCGCGTTCCCTCCATAACAACTTCGATCGGCTTAGTCAAGCGGACATGTGAGAAGTCGTGTTGCAATCGTTTAACAAATTTCAGAGACAATTCAAGTTTGGTGATACGCTTCTGCAAATCATAGTGATAGATAATATGCACAAGGTTATCCTGCAACCCGTCTTCACAGGTCTGCAAAGCAATAAGCTTCCAATGCCTCTTTTGTTTCTCTGCGCTTCTGTTCTCCGCATCGGTCAAGGCGGCCATGTAGTGTTCTTCAAGCAATGCTTTGCGCTGGTACCAAGCTCCTCTACGAGAATGATGGAACAGTCGCTGCTGCAGCAGTTCATTCAAGAGTTCGTGCTCGCGCCTATGCTCCTTCCGTCGTCTGAGTATGTCAAGTGTCTTGTGAATGATGCGCGTGTATACCCAAGCTGGTGAAAGACGACGAAGGTATGACCCTTCGCCACTGTGGTAGACGCTGTCCTCTTTTCGCTGCTCTTCTTGAACAAGCACGTGCCAGCGCGGATATACCTCCTCAAAGGTATCCAAAATTTCTTGATATCCTTTCTCCGTTGGTCTTCCGTTGAACTCCAAGATGCTATCTATCCGGTACTGCGTTCGGATAGAAGCCTCATACTCGAGCAGTAGGGACCGAGAGGCGAAGATGTTCGCAGATCGAGAGACAATGTACTCTGGAAAGTTCCAACGCGCAATCTTCGCCAAGATGATGGTTGTCAATGACTTCTCGGTCCACTCGGTAGAGCGGTAAAAGACAAGATGGACACGTTCGAAGAGCTTCAAAGTGGCCAGGGAGAGTCGTATACAAGGGCCCGTTTCTTGCATGATCCTTCGTGTGAAGTGCGCATCGCGATTTGCATCATCCGAGAGATCGCCTTCGGGCTCCAGCTCGACATCGGGCGTTTCTGGTCGGGATCTGGATACAGAGGATGCTCGCGACATCTCCGAGTCCGAACGGGTCAAACCAACGTGGCCAAGACCGGCCTGTCGCTGACTTGTGCGTCTTAGAGCCTTCAGAAGCTCACCCTTGTTCTTTCCCTTGACCTTGGCATCCTTTGCAAGAGCCTTCAGTTCATCGAGTTTCAGCAAGGATGATGCTTCCTCGAGTGTGCTTATCTCCTCCTCGGATCGATCCGCGAACGTGAATGTGTTGCCCAGTGTTGTGCCTGCTGGTGCCTCTAGTTCGCCCGGATGTGACTCGACTTCGGAGGAGGAGGCCGGCAGGTCATATGTACGTTGCAGTATTTCGGCTGCTGCGTCAAGGTCTGAGATGTCGCTGTGGTAGCCCAGGTTCTTTATGCGATGCCATGCGGAGGTCTTGCGAAGGAAAAGGCGTACGTATCTATGTAAGGAATCGCAGTTAGTAGGATTCTAGTACTAATTTTATCAAAGATTTGAGCTTACAGATATTGCGCTTCATAGCCTATCTCTCTCCACATTCGAAAGACTTCTGTTTCGGCCTCATCAAAGAGGTGGCCTTCCTCGTCCAGCACAGTATCCAGCGCGAGGTTGAATGCGTCGACATAGAGCGAGCTCTTTCCTCGAATCCATGATCGCTTTTCCAAGCGCTCATCTGTCCCGACTGTCTTGCTTTCTTCCTCCGCCTTATACGCTTCATATGCTTTGATGGCGTCATCGCCTGTGTCGACTTGTGGTAGCGCACTCTCGAGATCTGTTTTGTGCTCTTTCTCTTCCTCTTTGATCACAGTGCCATCAGTCTCGTCATCAGAGTCAAGCACTTCGCGCTTCACAGTCTTGCGTGGTGTTGGTGGTGGTTTCTTGGGGCTATTGCCCGTCTTCTGGCGCTTGACCGGTCGATCTTGCTCGCCATCGAAGTTGGTGGATTTAGGATGCTTGATGAATCGGGTTATCATTTGATTGTGTACGGAAGGGCTCCGAGGATTGAGCGCCATTGCGATGTCGCAGTAAGCTGCGGAGCGGCGCCTCGAACCAATGCAAGTAGCACTCGCCACAGGCCAGGGCGACGCGCCATATCGCGCTGTCACGAGGCACTAACCCCAGCGGAACTTAGCGTGATCAGACCTCTGACGTCATCCCGTTGCCCTTTCGATCTTTGAGTGAAGGACTTCCGCCAGGTTCAATGGGCCTGAAAGATGCTTAATCGCCGAGGAAAGACATTTACATCAGAATTTACGGTAATACGAAGGCACTTGCACAGGACCTCCGGACGACTAAGAGTAAACCTCTACCCATTCTACAAACGTCTAAACGCCTTCCTGGGAAGTGGTCTAGGTGAAGATACCGCAGCCACAATCGACAGCTCTCAATACTTGCCTAACGCGGTAACGTCTCTTCCAGGTTGAGATGAGTTGCGACAGTGATGTACGTGTGAAATCCGACCCCCTAAAACCTACGGCAGAGAGAACTCATCTATAAAAGCGGTGTGCACCAAGAAGAATAGCAACGCTAGAGGAACGGGTGGAGAGTAGAGGGTGAAGGATATCCTACCGCAATCAACGGCTTACGATATTGCTTGATTGGGTATCGTCTGGCTCGAGATGAGACGAAATTTGACATATTCAACAGACCCGACGAAGCGCGTCAACTAACAACAGTCCCACAAGTTGGCATCATCATCTTCCTGCCTGCGCCTCCGGACCTTCACACCGAACTACTCTCGACTGCGCCAACTCCAACCTACTCCCCATCCATTGGTCGCTCTGAATCTCTACTTCGGTATCAATGTGTACGCCCATATAGGCTACGCCATTCATTCCCTTCCGACTACTCCCCGCTTCCAGATCTTTCCTGTCGTCGCTCCTTTGGATATCCTCTCTTTCCACGAAGGGGTTCTCGCTTCCTAGTACTCTCTGCCCAGGTGCATGTATCGATGTAATGCCAGATTTGATATCGTAAGCGAGCTCGACGTCGTGTGAGCTGAGGTTTGTAAAGGTGCGGGCACGGCTCTGGCGCTTGCTTCTAGACAGATTACCGTATCCATACGAGCTCTGGCCAGGCATCTGTGATTGGCTGGTGGCATAATAGCTTGTGTGCTCACGAAGGAAACGTATGTGTTCGCGGAGAAGAGGCCAGATGCTGGGGAGATTGGCTACGTAGACGGCAACGGATGCCTCACGGGTATACCACAGCATGTACGTGGTGGAGTATACGTCCGATAGATTGTAAACTTTTGTCAATATTGCTGCGACGATCTTATCGGTCATGTCAGTAAGAAGAAACCGTGAGTTGACAGGAGGGAGGAACGTACAACGAAGATACCCATGCTGAATAGTATGCCCAGCACGACTTTCTGTTTCAGAGGAAGTGAAAGCGACATGATCATCGGTATCGGCACAGCGATGATGAGGACATCGCTGCTTATGTTGAAAGTTGCCTGTACTATCGCAAAGTGCTCAAGAGTCGTGCATTGCGGATTTGGAGGCGGCACTGCCCAGTATCCTACGAATGGGCGACATGCACTGAAGAAAGTAATCTGGACAGCGAACCAGCCGATAACGACCCATAGTGCAGCCACTTTGATCCACTTCATGTTCGTTGTTCCGGTCAGCATACGAGCAAACATGAACAGCATACAGGCTTTCAAGGACCATATAACGTTGAGCATACACTACTACGTGTTAGTTGTGCGTCATAGTATGGTTTTAATGCCTCGTGGTCTGTTGACTTACTTGCTCGGAAACGACGACGATCTTCGATCCTTTGATTCGCTCATCGATCTCTCCTTGAGTGAACGTAGAGAACAGCTCTGGTGGAAAGAGGTTACTTCCACCTCCCGTTGCGATTGTGTTCAAGCATACAATCAGCCCAGTGTAGAAGGTTGGTACGGCTGTTACCATGATCCAATCATCTGCTGCAAAGGCGTTTAGGCTTCCGACTCGATGCCATCGCGCGTATCTGTAGTTAAGAGTGAGCACGGCGATATGGTTTGGCTAGGTATTACTAACGTGCGGAGTAAGATCATGACCATGCCGATGCCGTACAATATCCATGATTGCACAGACAGTTGCTGCGGGAAGCCGGACAGGTTGCTCTCGGCCATGATCGAGATAATGATAGTACCACCTGAAAGTCGTTCGGTCAAGGGTATTGTCCACGAGACCTTTTGTAGAGAAAACGAATGCTTGGAGGTATCAGTCGCATTTCCTACACCTGTAATGCTCCATGCTTTGGATTGTTAATAGCTCGATCCAAACATAGTGTCGAGATAAAAGGTTTAAAATTCTTGAAGTGAGATGACAGCCTTGGATAATAAAAATGGTAGACCGCGGGAAGTCTATTGCTTGGCCAAGATAGACATGGTTTCGCTGCACCTATCAAGACACCTAGACATTAGATCATGTCTGGATACGGTCCAAGAAACGGGACGGGTATCCTGAGACTATACCCACAAGAAACATCAATGAACATCTCCGTGAAGTTGTAATCGGTATCTTGGAATCCTTCGAGGTTCAATGGCGTGGATGGCCTGTGGCGACGATCACCATCAAAGTCGACCTAAATAGTTAGCATCACATGCCAGCCCATTCATGCTTCCAAGAAATGCCAACGGGAAGGCATGATTGGTGAGAATTGGCGCTGACAGCCAAGCTTGTCCCTGAACGAAGCGCGGGGTGCAACATTCAGCGTGATGGGGTCGACCGCTGGCGTGGGATGTAGGCGCTGTCCGAGGCGGACGCCTCCAGCCGCACGGTAGGTGTTGTCCGTATTGGTATCAGAGATCACAAGGATTCACGTGTAAGCGATGCTTGTGATAATCTTACTGACGGCAGGACGAGCGGTGAGTAACAACCTCAACAACGAGAGAAACACCGTATACCAAGGTTGTTGACAGAAACGTGTATTCAACACGTACTGCTTCGTCCAGAACACACTCAAAGGCTATTCGAACCACTCAAGCTGTATACCTAGGTATGAGCGCAGTAAGATTCCGGTAATAAGACATGAGTTGTCTTGCCGTATATGCGTCCATCTGCGGCAATATCCACACAGAGACGTTGAAGCGTGGAGGCGGGGAGGTGCGCGATAAGGGAAAAAGAAACCACGACGGAATGCGAATGTCATCCGCTAAGCGATCCCTGCCACTGCCGAATCCTACATTTCATAGATTTTAGAAACCAACCAAGTCTTGATTACAAGGGACCTATCTCAAAAGAAACATATATACATTCTCAAGATAAGAAAATATGCAGGTCCCAACAGACCCTCCGGCACCGTGAAACAGACAGCGGAGAAACCGGAACAGCTCCATAGGAGATCTGCATCCAGGTACCAAGCCACATCATGCAGGGAAGGACCGACCACGTACACCAGACCCAACGCCGAAAAACCGCTGAATGTAAACGCTAAACCGCTCAAAAAGCTCCATGTACAGGGAAGATACAATCCATGAGCGCAACACTCATCTAAAGCGCCCAACTGCCTTTCCTAACGGCAGTTCCACGCCCCCCAGCCATGAATTCATCTTCAGCCATGTGGGGGTGTTGCCTTGCCCATTCCTGGATATAGATGCGTAAGGCGCGCCAGCGCATGCATGTCTCCTCGGTAATCTGGGTGTCCTTCAAATTGCCGTCGTTGCCTAGACGAATGTAGCCACGGGATGAGGCGAGGTGATCGTCTTGCCTCAACTCGGAAATGGGAATGTGCGAAATCTTTGAAAGCTCTTCATCGAACGGACGTGCCATTGATGGATAACCAAGTGACAGGTAATTGTACACTTGGGTGACAAAGTTGTCACCGAATTCTTCTTCGATGGACTGCTCGACAGCGAGCTTCTCATCGATGCCCGAGAAGTCTGTTTGCCCAAAAGTGACGCCGGAGCTGGATGCCGGAGGCGTAGGTGGCAAGAGGCTTGTAGAGGGCGTTGGACAAGGCGACATGGGGTTTGGCTTCTCATTGTGGGGTGTGAGTAGACCGGCTGGCCCGCGTGGGGACTTGTCTCCACCGTTGACGCAAAATCCACCCCACAATCCGTGCGTGCTCGAAGCTCGGCTGTTGGCATTGGACCACAATGATGGTGTTGTACTTGTTTGCCTGCCGTTGCCTTTTCCACACCATAAGCTTTCTCCTGTTTCAGACGCGGCCTTGGACTGCTCAGAGAGATAGCACATAGCCGTCCGGACCGCATCGCATCCTTGAGTTGGGTCAAAACGAGATGGCTCCGGTGATGCACATCGCGGGAATTTGATGTCCTGTCCAAGCATGGGAGGTCGGGCTTCTTTGCGCTGACGCTCTAATTCGGGGTCTTTTCGCTCTTTCGCAAACTTCTTGGCCGTAGCAGCATCCAGAAAGCCGGCTGGGTTTCCAAATGGACTGAAAGCAGGCTTGACATACTCCTTCTGCTTCTGCTCCTCTTTACCGGCTTTCTGCTTCTCTTGATACTCACGCATGGCAATTAAATCCCAATTAACCTGCGTGAAGGACGGTTCTCGCTGCGGCTTCGCCTCAGTGACTGATGGCTCTGAGCCTTCTGTATCATGATCCACGTAATGAGCCACGGGTTCGTGGAAGTCGCTGTTCGGGAATGCGGCCAAGGCCTGTTCCCGAAGCTGTTTCTCTGCAGCCTTAGCAGCCAACTCAAGTAGGTAGCCAGCAGAACTGTCGTCAACACTTTCTCGTCGTCGAGTAGCTTCTTTGTACATAAACGAATGGTCTGAAATATAAGGTGGCGACTCGGTCGGCGATGGCGGTGCAGATGCTTCAGACTCGGAAGACTCAATCGGGTCTAAGTCAGGAACACGGAACGAGTGTTGCGAGCAGCTAAAGTACGACCGACGTCTACACGGTGAGGCGTTGCGTTGTATCTCCAAAAACAAAGGGTTCTGTTTGATATCAAAAGTCGGTGTGTTTGTTGGCGGTGTGGGAGGGATTCCCAGTATCCTTGCTTTCCGGGCACTTATTGCAGAGTCCGGGGTCGCCTCAGTCTTGTCGGACGGTTGTATTGCGGGAGTATCGTCCCCAGCCTTGCGATGTCTTTGGGCAGTTTCGATCAATTGCGGTCGAAATTTCTTGGTAGGCAGTTTTAGAGAAGCCCTGTACTGGCTACTGTAGCTTGAAGCCGCTTCCATAGGATCCGCTTTGAACTTCCCAGTGGGGGATGTTTGCTCTTCCCAGTCCTTGGCAAACTTCTGACGACTGCTTCGTGTGGTCGTCTCCAAGGGCTCGGGAGCAAAGCGACGGTTGGACTTCTTGGTAGTCTCAACGGGCTCGGGCGCAAACCTACGGCTAGACTTGGAACTTGATTTTGTCGTCTCTATTGGCTGTGGTGCAAACCTCCGTGGCTTCGGCCTCTCGGCCTGCTGTGCCGGAGCTTTGTCCTGCTCTGCCGCAGCCTTGTCCTTGGAGGACGAGACAGTTGTCTCGATGGGCTCGACCTTGAAACGCCTGGGAGGAGCTGCTGACGCCATCTTTAAGTATTTCCAGCACTTGAAGGGGGCTCCCTGATGCTATACTTATACAGGCAATCGGATATATGACTAACGGTATCTTCGCCAATCGCAAGACTATGCGGTCGCCCGGGTAGACTAGTGGCAGAGGCCTAGTATCTGGGGAGGTGCGGAACCGAAGCGGGGAATTTACTCGGAATATTTCGGAGGCATGTAACTGCGTAGGGGCGCTGTTGAGCGTGACAGCGACGTTGCGGACAATGCTCGGTGCAAAAGTAAGCACACGCAATCCCCGCTGGCGGTATGTTGTGGTGGAAGCGCTGGGATGGAGGGTGCAGCCGATGCTGGCTAGTTGGGGGCAGGGAATTGTCTACGGCGGTCGATTCGGAGGCGCGTAGGGCTCAAGGGCACTCGTGTAGTCTTGGAGCATGTCAGTCGCGTGCCATTTTGCTTCTGGCCGTCTCCCACGCCCGGGCTCAACTTACTGGACCCCGTATCGCAGTTCCCACACGGCCAAGGGTTTGTCGAAGTGCGGAAAGCGTCTGAAGGAGAGGTTGCCGAGAAACATGTGAATGGCACAATGTCTAGTAGCTGGCGCTGGCGTGTGTGGTGCAGGATGACGTATGGTGGAGCGACTGCTAGGGACAGCCCAGAGCTACCGCGGGGGTTTGCGGGTTTGGGTATGCGTGGGCGTGCACTGGTGGTGAGAGCCGTTGGTTATATCCAGGGCGGTCGCGGTCGTGTTCAGTCGTGGGCGCAGCTCGTTGGACGACAGGGTTGAGTTTCCAGCGTCTTGTTGAGGTTCGAGAGCTGGTCGGAGCGCCCTAGGACCAGCACTACCTGGGTATCGAAGCCCTTAAATTGTCTTATCAATGCGTGCACCGCTATTGACACACGAGATATCCCTTGGACTTGGACTAAATGGGCAGTGGCAGAAAGTTCTAGGGCTCCATGGCTGTCGACCAGCTGCCCGATAACCAGCCTCGTGGGCGGAGCGGTCAATCAGTGGAGTCAGCACTCTGCACCCGACCGCATCTTCGGCACGTTAATTCGTTCAAGGATGCACGGTGCGAACGTGCAGCAGCCGTGTGGGTCTGCGATGAGAACTAGACAATTCCATGTCGAGCATCGGGGATCGACAAATGGCATGCGCTACTCCACGACTCCAGACTCCACGCCCGCTTGCTGATCGAGAATGACTACAGCCTTTGGGGATTCCAGAAAGTCTGATCAGGCCTTTGCCTCGCAGTGAAAGCTGTGCGGCATTTTGTGTGGAAATTAATGCTTTATTTACGGAAACCCTAGCCACGTACTTGTCTCCGCTGAGAAGAGCCCACAGAAGGTCATGGCGGCATCATGTATTCCCGAATGCGGCCGCTGAGGCAGGAATCTTTTCATGTGTGCGTAGCCATCATGGCATAATTTATCACAATTCCACGACACAACTGCAGCATGCACATGCGCTTTCCGTTTACCGGTGTCGTGCTCAGAAGGCATACTTCGAGTTTAATCTGGCGCTGACCATCCGACGTTGTGAGGAGTAATCGGGCAGGTGCGGGCGATTTCGGGTGGCTTTTGCGGTTGACACATGCAGCATGAACGACGGTTACCGTAACCAAAATTAGACAAATCTACCATAACTCCCGGGCACTTCGTGAGGATACTCCTATCTTACTTTTGCTTTGTTCGCTCCGCTACGCCTATATCGCTTTCCATTTCACATTGACCATGCATCTGGCTGGGACCTCACGACTGCTTCTCTTGAAACTGAAACAATTCTTGGATACATCGACTAACACAGTTCTCTCAAACGCCAAAAGAAATACCTAGGTACTCAATAGTTCCGTTCGTTATACACAACATCGAAGGATGATCTGAATATCCATTCCAAAAGAGAGCGCGCCTGGACTCCAACCACCAACCACCAACCAACAAAAGCCTTCCAGTCTAATCATACCACACCAAACTATGGCGGCGAGATGTATCCATAAGCCGGCGCATACCCGCTCCAAGACTGTTCCACCAAATACCAGAGGGGCGAGCGATCCGGCACGACAAGGTGACTCGCTGGGTCTCCGCGGCAATGCTCGTACTGGGGGCTGAGGCGCAGCGGCGACTGCAGAAAAAAGTACTCAATAGGCAACGGCGTGGCAACTGGCATGCTGTGGGCAACCCAATAAAGAACACCCGGGTCGGGTGATCGGCTGCGAGCGCTGCCGCCGGCAGATGCTACTGGACTGTGGTCGATTGTGGCACACGGTTCGACGACCATGCTGTCGGACGTGGCAGCACAGTCTTGGGCCGTATCTGTGGGGTCTAGGTCTGAAGAATGGGTCGTGGTGCCGTCTGCATCTTGGAAAACTCTGATATCCTCATCGTGAGACACGGTCATCAAGTATGGTTCTTCGTCTGCATCAACGGCTGTCTCGTCGTCGCTCACTCCACCACCTCCTTCGTCGTCGCTGGCCTTCTCGCACCCTTCTCCGCAGTCGTAGCCACAATTCCTCCACTTGAATTGGGGCGGTCTATCAGACGATGGACTGTCCAGAGCCGGCTGGTGGGAGGGGTTGCTCGGATCATCGTGGTCGTACATTGTGGCGACAATAAGAAGATCGAGCAGTCTTTCCTGGAGGCATGTCAGTTCACCTTGTGTGGTATGGGCTCAAGCATTCAGTACCATCGTTGTCAAAAGCGAGGACGTAGCCGAAGTCGAATCGTTGCATACACATAGAGAAGTAGTGCATCTTACCTCGACAGCTCTGCGAGAAGGAATAGGGACAGCAAGCAATGGAAGATAGCTCTGTTTTCAACAGGACAGTAATCGTTTTGGCAAAGGTAATGGTATACACGCTAATAATACAGATCAAGACACCTCCAAATCAATCAACTCTGGAGAAGGGATCGAAAAGAACAACTACAACACATTCCTCCAAGTCTTTATACACACAGTACATGAGCGATCACCGGCCAGCCAAAATATACGACAGAACAAACGGGAGTCATAACCGCCTCCGCGACAGACACGTTGCCCGACCCCAAGCCTGAGTCGGTCACCTACCTGGCTCCAACAACCCATCACTGGACCCCCTTCCCCGCATTTATTCCAACCGAGATCACACCAGTACTCTGAAGGACCAATATCCTCCGCTCATCTATTACCGCATTCCGACACCGGCCAGCGTGCTCGTAACCTGGGGTAGTCGACAGTACCCTCGAGTAACCACGCGACGGAAGGATAGCGTAGGATACTTCCAAGACGAGCTGGTAAAACCCGAAGGTAACCGGCATGTAGATTGTTTTGCCTGATGACGGCATGGGGACTTTGTTTTGGGGAGAACGCGTCGCGTGTGCGTGTCCGAGATGGGCTCACCGGAGGCCGCCTACATGGGCGTTGGAAGTGGGGTAAAAAGCCACCGGTCAACACCGAGGGCGATTGTAGACCAAAGAGTTAGGTATGACTCTGATGAGATTGGTCGCTTTGTTTTGGCATGGTGCGGACCCATGTCACTGTGTATGACGGATATTTGGGGTCGCGTTAAGCAATACTGCCGCCTTTAACCTCACCAGTCGGGATATTTTGTTACTGGTGGATGGATTTAGAAAGGAGGTATCATTGTCTCATGATACTTTGGATATTTCCTGATTATCATGGTCTTGGTGTAGCGCGCCAATGTATATGCTTCTAAATTGCCGTGCATTCGCCTCTGCATGCCGGGTCCTCGATCTAACCATGACGTCTTCTTCCGTCACTCGATGCCCTTCCTCTCCACCCTGCTCATTTGTTATGCCAAAGTAATGTCCGTAACGAGTTCCAATCGTCCGACTGAACATAACTGTCCACACGTTAGCATCATCCCATATTCTTTGAGCTTCAAGGGATACCCACATATAACTCATACTACTCCTCAAACTGCTCTGCACAGCCTCAGGATGCCACCTGAAAATATACATAACCATCGCCCAACTCAGACTGGCAAACACCGGCCATCCGTTCTTCGCCATCGTTCTCCTCATCTCGCCATTACCGAACAGCTCCCATCCACCACCACCCCCTTGGACTCCTTGCCCACTAGCTCCACCTCCGACCTGTCGTGGTTGTACTGCCAACTTTGCCAACGCTAACAATACGCGTGCAGCTACGTATATGACGATTTGCTGAGACACGGAATTGTGAATTGTGCGACCAAAGACGGTGTAGCCGCCTAGAAGGCCGGCGAGGAAGGAATCGTAGTGTCGCTCTTTACCGGTCGGGGACGCGTGTCGGAGGAAGATCATGCAGGATTTGTAGACGAGGGCGAAGAGGCCGAGGTTACGGGCATGCTGGCGGGTCGCTTTGTAGACGAGCAAGGCTTTCGATCGGAAACTGTTTGGATCCTGTCAGCCGTGGTCTTTTCTACAATTCCGAAATAGACAAGAGGTTTGGTAGTAAGTGGAGTTCTACGTACCTTCCAGATCTGAAGAGGAAGATCATTCTGCAACCACGCGTCAGCAATCCATCCCTCCATAAACGCACAACCCTGCGAGAACCTACACAAGCGCATGCGGAAACCGCACCTTGCTTCCGTACACGATGCCATTCCTTACACCTTTTACCAGTGTGAGGATATCGTGGTACTTTGGGTCTAGCACAATCCTGTCGAGCGCAGCCTATTCGAATCATCAGCTCTCGCGCTGCGAAGATGCGACATCCGAGTTTCTGCAACATACTTCGAGGGCATTTAATCTGTCCATGTCGTCCGTATGTGTGTGTGTTATGACCTGGGTGTTGTGTTCTGTCGTTGCTGGCTTGCGTCCGGCGAAGAAGACCTCGGGAGCCTCGGTCCAGCGCGCGCGTTGCGATGACGTTTGCCGCTACCTTTTACGGTCGCAGAAACCCTGGAGGAGAAAACTGAAGGATTGGAGAGAAGAGAAAAGTACAACGTTCATATCATGAGGCTGGCATGAGGACAAGAGCGAGGTTTGCGGTCGGGTATAGATAGCGCAGAGTCGCAGTCGCGGAATGGCTGCTGGCATCTGATCCTCGGCTCGCGTCACATTGCCGGTCGCTGCTTCCCCACATCCGTGGATTGGTGCAGCTTCGCGCTAAGAGAAAGAAAGGACAGGGGTGTTTGCGCTTTGACATGTGAAGGTAGAATAATTTGGGAAAAGTTGCATGTGCATGCGCTCTATAATCTAAGACTGCTGCTTCTTTTCTATGCGCTCAATGTAACAATACATGGTATCTCGACGCTCCCGCCTGATGCTATAAAAACGCCCCCAAACACCATGATATGCTGCTCGACGAATTCCGCGCAACCAGCGCGAGATCCCGTCACGGTCCTAGTCTACCCGGCGAGTAGGCCATCGCTTCTTTAACTCTTCATATACCGTGAAGATGAATGCAGAACTGGGTATAGATCTCGCAACTGTGATACCACATCCACGGTACATGCCTTTGATACCATGTTGCTTCCAAACCGCCTTTCCTACGGCGCTAAATGTCGACTTTCCGCCAGTCAGTTGCTTGACGTCTTCCGTCTGCATCCTCGACTTGATCGTGTCCGCAGGGTAGAACATGAAGTTGTAGGCTCCACCTGCGACAGAACCAGAGGCCATGCGCTGCCAGACGGGAATATCTTCGTCCTTGGCTGAAGTGCTTGAGCCCTTGAACAGGATCTTCATGCCTTCGTAACCACCGAACCACGCTGCGCCGCCTCCTGTTTCGCGGATCAAGGTACCAAATTGTCCGTGCCAGTAGCCCTTAAGACCCTGATGACGATAGATAGAAGCAATGACTCCTCTGATGGTTGGTACGGCCACGACGGTGCCGCTCGTTTCTAGGGGAACTTGCATCTTGCATTTGACGAGTTCAATCGGTGTTAGGAAGAGTGAGGTGATGGCGCCCGCGATCATTCCGCAAAAGAGCATGCCAGAATACGGTAAGTCTCGCTCAGGGTGTCTCTTCAGTTCAGGATAGAATCCCGAAGACTTGAGTGCATCGCCAGCCAGACGATACTGCAGACCACATCAGCTTGATCCCCTTGCACATTTGCATGCTACTCACACTAAAGAACAATGTGCTTGTCTCTACAGCAGCTCCCACCAGAGGCGCGCTGATCCCCCGGTATATTCCAAGGAAGCCATCCTGCTGTAAGGACTTCTTGAAGCAGTCCAGTGGCCCGGTGTAGCGGAGTGGCACCTGGTCGGGCTGTGACTGTAGCCGAACCTTGACCGTGTCGAAGGGGTACTCGATGTACTTTCCGACAATTCCAGCTGCGGATCCACAGAGAACATCCTTCAGGGCCTCTTCGCCCTTGCCTATGGTATGTGCTGCAGCAGGACTCCGGACCTCTTCCATTATAACTGGGTTGGGCAGCCGGCCTCTTCCCCCCACCACCGACACCGGACTCTCTTGTGCTTCCATGAATGAGGAATGTGTATGGCTCGTCAATGGATATGTGTAGCTGGATTGAATGTATGTTTATGAAGTCGAGCGCATGTTGCGTGCGAAGAGTCGTGGGCGGTGAGAGGGCGCGTGGCTACTGTTATGAATCGAAGCCCATGTCAATGATGGAGTACACCGGTAGCGTTTGCGTTATGGCGAGTGGAGGAAGGTTCGGAAGTGTGTAACACGACGAAGAGAGTTTGCTCGAGGGAGCATGTAGCGGGCCGTGTGTGCGACGGGGATGGAGAGGATGATAACGCCCAACGTTGTACCAAACAGGGCGGACCTTCCTTTAGCTAGCCTAGAAAAATTCTGCAGTATCGGAAGAAAGTATTACAGGAGTGGAAAGCGCACAGCGCCTACTAAGCCAGACCATCTGCATGCGCGAATAAAGTAAGAGCGCAACGAGCAGTTGGGAACGCGCTCCCGCCGCACTTCTGCTGATGCAGCTTATCAGATCGAATTGATCTGATAACGTTTGAGTTGGGCGGGATTTGGGGATCCCTGGCTGGGAGCCCGCGCCGGCAAAGTGCGCTAGTTATCGATAATCGGCATTAACTTTTCTCGCGCCGCCGTGTTCTGGGTTCGAGAACTTCTGCGAGATCCACTGGTCGCGCAACACTGCAACCATGTCTGAATCTGTGATAATCGAGGCGCCTCCTGCGACGGAAACTGCCCCTGTCAAGGGCATGAAAAAGAACGGTATGCGACATCTGTGTGCGGTCTACCATGGCGACATGGCAGTCTAACTTTACCTAGGCAAGCAATGGCACGACAACAAGGGCCCCTTCCGACCAAAGGCTGGCCAGACCTCATGGGAGAAGCGCAGTGAGGAGCGGAAAGCGCTCGCTGCTGTCAAGGCGAAGGAGAAGGAGCTGAAGGACGAGAAGGAGTCTGAGAGACAGGTAGGAAACCACGGCTTTTGGTTACAAGTAGGCAGGAGCTGACTGTGCAATAGCGACGAGTCGAAGCCATCAAGACCAAGCGCGCCGCCAAAGCAGAACGAGAGCGATTCGCCCAGATGGAGGAGAAGATGCACAAGAAGCGCGTCGAGCGCCTGAAGAGGAGGGAGAAGCGCAACAAGATGCTGAAGTCATGAGCTCGGGTCGGATAGACTAAAGCCGAAGCATAAAATGCGGTCAAGGAAATGCCGCTTCGGGAGGATGTAGCGAAGGTGCAGAGGCAGGCGCGACTGCACGACCTAGAAACCACCGGGAAAGCAAGAGCGACCGGCAGCAGTCCAGAGAAGTCCAGTCTGTAGGGCGGGATGCAAGCAATGATACCCTATCGAGACTTCCACAGTGGAAGACGCAGCAAAAAGCAATCATTAGAATCCTGTACATGATCAAAGAATCTGAAATCACTACTGAAAGTACCATACCCACAGACGTGGAATTGCGTGCACAAGCAATTCGAGTTCAATATCTGCAAAGTCACAATCATCATCACTGTCTAGGCTGTTTCATGACTCTCTTCACATGCGCTTCCCCAGCTGGCTAGCGGAAGGAGACCCCTGCAATGACACGCGAAACTCGGAAGTCGATCTTGGAACCCAGCAGCACCGACAACTGCCTCGTTGCGCCGACCCAACCACCACCATGACATGGACGGACAGCTTCACCTCCATGCCGGCCTGGCCGACCCCAGATCTTTCCGTCCCAACCTCTACAGCTCCCGTTCGGCGACGCGCGTGACGACTGACCCCGAAAAGAAGTCGCATTCCCACCTGCACAAGCACAAGTCGTCGCGACACCACCACGACCGTCACGATGACCGTCACCGCCACAGCTCCAGCAAACGCCATGCTGCCAAAGAGGCGATGCAGTCAGCCATCCAGATACAGCCGCCCACTAGCTTCGGAGATCTGCTGAGGCAGGCGCGAGGGAGCAGAGACACGAGCCCCAGTCACAGTCGCAGGGAGAGCGTCGCACCAGGCCAGGCGGATGGCAGCGTGCATGGGAAGGAGGAAAGCACTCCAGGCATCACCATCCCGCCGCTGAGACCAATCCGGCAGGCAGATGTGGAGCTAGAGGCTAAGAGAGTTGAGGCTAGAGAGCGGTGCGTCTGCGTCATTCACTATCAACCCCCATGATGTTCCGTAGCGTTCCCCCAAGATGCCTTCTCTAACATGGCCCGCAGAGACCTTCGTGCGGTTCTCCAGACCCTTTCCGACCAGTCCCTCAAGACATCGCGCCGTCTAGACGACACCTACTATTCTATCCTCGAGAAGGTCTCCGTACTGCGCCAGACCATCGGAACGCTGCAAGAGCTCTCTGGCCTGACCAAGGAGCTCCACGAAAACTTCGAGTCGGACACGACAGAGTTGCTGGAGGATGTGACTGGCCAAGTGGAAGCCTTTGATGGCTTCAAGACACAACAGGAGCAAGTGAGCGGGTTGGAAGAGCGCATCAAGGCGGGCAAAGAGAAAGCCGATGCACTGACGGCAAGGCTCGAACGAGCCAAAGAGCGTGTCGACGCGAGGGCCAAATCGGAAGCGCAGTGGCAGGCGAAGAACACCCGTACGGCTATCTTCATAACTTTCTTTTGTTTCCGTCCCAACTGACATCACACAGATCGCGTGCGCATATTCTGGGCTATAGTGGGCTTTGTAACTGCACTCATACTAGCTCTCGTTTTCTTCCGCCCGTCGCAACCGATCGACAACCCACACGAACCGAAGAACACACTCGATCCTGCGACCAGAGAGGCAATCTTGAATGCCGACATTCCAGACATAGCGAAAGAGGCAATCATAGGGCCGTCATCCAGAACTGCAAGTCCAAAAATGGAGACACCCGAAGCGCAGCCTGTACTAGATGACGATGAGCGACTGCGCGCATTCGACGAGTTGTAATACTTCGAGCTACTTTCCTGCCTATTTTGCTTTCGAACACCAAGATACCCCTGCGATAGTTTTGCCACGTCCAATATCAATCTCCAAATGATCAAGTTCTTTTGGTGTCACCGTCCACTTCATCCTAGCCGTCAGGAGACCTATCCACGCCAACCAAGAAAAAAACTGAACAGGCCTGCAGCCTACATCAACTCAAAACCCTATAAGATAGGTGACTTGGCGTTGATGTAGGCTCTAGACCTGTTCAGTTTTTTTCTTATATGAGGTGTATTACTGTTGTTTGACACAGGTATATTCGCGTGCGTTGCAGATCGTCGAACACGGCGTCAGGTGTTACTAGGCAGGACGCCTTGCCAAACAATAGCCAATGGTCAGAATCTGTACAACACCTCAGCCGCTTTTGGCCCCCACCCAGCCGAAGCCACCCAAGCCACTAGGCCAGCGGCCTCTCGCATATAACAATACTTAGTCCTGTCGACTCCTCACAGATCTTGACACACGAAGTTATCGCCGCTCCACCGGATCCTGAGCATGGCTTCATCTCGCTCTGCCTCTATGTGTTTGTTGGAGCTCAGCCAAGAGTACCTTCCGACGGCCACCGCTCCAGTCAGGGCAGACCCACTTACAGGCGGTCTCAAGCAGGATCGTTTACATGGTATCCCGGATCACGGCCATTCCACTCACAGCGAAAGACTGCTCGGTAACAACCTAGCATGGAGTTCAGAAGGACCAGAATCCAGATCTTCGAAGGAGCAGGCCATTGTTAGAACGCACTACGATCCACCGAAGCGTTCTGGAAGCTTTCATTGGGGAGATTGGCGGTGGGAGGTTGCATCCGCAGTCTTCAGTCTCCTGTGCGTTGTTGCCATAATAATCATACTAAAAGTCTACCAGGAGAGACCCTTGTCTGATTGGCATTTTGTTCACAATATCACGCTAAACACCGTTGTTGCACTTCTTTCGACCCTATCGCGGACAGCCCTGATAGTATCAGTTGCATCATGCTTGAGTCAACTTAAGTGGATTCACCTGGTCAGGTCACCACGCCCGCTGCGAGAGATGCAAATCTTCGACGACGCCAGTCGTGGACCTTGGGGCTCTCTGGAACTCGTTTGGAGATTGCATCTTAAAACTAAGTTGGCAACATGGGGTTCTCTTATCACGATACTATCCCTCGCCATGGGCCCTTTGTCGCAGCAGTTGCTTTCTTACCCTTCGAGACTGCATTTTGAAACCTCCGGCGCAAGTTTCTATAGGAATCAAGTTTACGATTCAGGTGCTTCCAGAGGCGTCACTGGAGGAGGGACCATAGGTAAGCTTCTGAGCTTGATTCATTAGAGGTCGTTTTCAGGCTTACAAAGCGAGCAGACAGGATGATGGACCCCAAGATACAAGGCGCTATCCTGAATGGACTCTACAACCTCAGTGCACCAGTACAAGTGGAATGTCAGACTGGAAACTGCCAATGGGATGACTTTACAACCCTGGCAGTGGCTAGCAATTGTACAAATGTCACATCCATCTCTCAAATCGTCTGCGGTAGGATACACGCAGGCTTAGCATGCAACTATACAACTCCCACTGGCTTTTTAATCAAATCGTCTCGGAGTACTAGCTCAGGAGGCGAAAAGGGAACTTGGTTCAACAGTACCGCTCGTATTCACTCGAGTGAGTCCAACGATGGCGCTGCATTCAACAGCTCCATAATCAGCTTCGCAACAGCCAACATGATAGGGCAGTATAGCATTGAAGCCCCCGATATCACAGAGTGCAACATGCGTTGGGTCGGTCGGCATGTCCGCAACATGACCGTCGTGAACGGTACCTTCAACCTCGGTATCATTCAAGACCATGAGCTCTCCGGTATCCCCAAGTCATATGGCGAAGAGATACAGTGGGCCTCTTTCAACCTTTCAGATGAGACTACAACGCTCACGGGTAACACGACTTTCAGCATCAACGCAGGCGACAACAAGGGTATCAAGACATTTCTCTCCGACGTTTTCTCCTCTTCGCTACGCGACGCATACGGTCTCGCTCTGTACAACTCCACAAACCTTACGCAAACTGTGGAGGCTATCAGCACTTCCATGACGTACGCTTTCAATACGGGAATTAGCAGCATCAAACTCCCTGGTAGAACAATCACGACGGAGCAATACATAAAAGTCCACTGGGCCTGGATAAGCGTACCAGTTGTTGAAGTCATCATGGGCATTGCGTTCTTCGTAGCTACGCTCGTACATACATGGAGGAGGGGCGTAGTGGCCTGGAAGAGCTCTGCCATCGTACCGTTATTCACGCACATTGAAGGATGGCATCCCGAAGAAAGTCGAATAGGCAGTGCACGAGAGGTAGAGAAGAGGGCTAAAGAGATGAGGGGTTTGCTAGAGAGAGATGAAGACGGTGGTCAGAGGTTCAGACGCATAGATGCATGAGCTATCCTAGGAGCCACAGGATGTACGACCATGACAATACGACACCGACGCCGATGAAACCCCCTAGCTCCGCACCTGCCGATACGCTGTGGGTTGCGACTCCTGCGGTGACCGCTACAACTGTCGCGATGACGAAGGATAGGGCTAGCGGCCATGCTAGATACGTTTTGTCGACGACATGGCCAATGCACAAGACTTTCCGCTTCGGTGATGCCTCTGTGTTCTCCACATCGAACGATTCCGTTTCGTGGAACATCCTCCCACTCTCACGTAGTAGCCCCGGTCGCAGCAAAGCAGCCGATAGCGCATGTGATGTCTCGACGTTTTCGAAGGGCACCTCCAGAGGAAAGGTACGTCCTCGGAATGAGGGCTGGACATGATCAGCATTGAGTTCTGTGCCAGTTATTGTCTGGCAATGGACTTACGGCGTTGATCTCGCATATCTGGACGATGGGCCTTTTGCAGCACACCCAGCGTGAGATGATGCGCTCTGTGGCGCTGAAGCATAGCCTGCAGTATTCGATGAGATAGAGTATTTGTTGTTCCGTGTCGACTGCTTTAGTCTGCTTGTCAATGTAGTTGCGGCCGTGTTTGGTGTATCCGATCCAGATTTCAAGCTCCCGATGGAGCTGTTGACTGAACACGATAGTTTCCATGGCTTGCTCAAGTTCAGTGGCGCCGAATGTCGGGCTCATTGGTCTGTGGTGGTTCTGGACGGGATGAGCGTTTCCTCATCGTCTTCATGAACTCAGATACGATACAGGCCGGTATATGACATGTTGCAACACCGATTCGATAACTCTCAGACAAAAACATCTTAAAGCCCGACACTTTGCTTGAGGAGGGAATCTGATGCCTACAGTGCACCGTGGTTGGGGAATTCATGGTACAATAGGTCTGGAAATTGTGTACAAGGCCGATGTGGTCGAACAATCTGCTCGCATCCGAAAGTGGTAGCTCTCTTCCATGCGAGCTGTAGACTATGTCTTGGCTGCATAGATGACGTCCAGTCAATCACGTTTTGGGAGCTGAACAATTTGTTCCCGTCGCTGGCCATTTGCGACGACGCGTCATTGGTCATCTTGAGAGGTAGCCGCCTACCCATGACGGCTCCGCCCGCACCTTCTGCCAATGGAGAGCCAAGGCTTACTCTCATACATGTCATTGCTTTTTCCACAGTTCATATACAGTCTTCTCAAAGCCTATTTTGTCTAATATAGCACTCCTAGTTCCTTCCGACAATCATCGCAACATACGCACGCATGAGCATACAACAGCCGGAATCATGTTACCTTCGAAGCAAGTCGTCGCGGCAGCGAAAGAAAAGCATCGACCCCAATTATCTGTGCCGCGACTACTACAAGCTACCTTTTGCCTCTCCTGGCTTGCTTGATGTCCCCACGAGTTGCCCTCCGGATGTTTCCTCACTGTTGGGGGAGGATGATTACGACAGCGAATCCAGGGGATCTTCCGTTTCTGACTACTCCTCGAGCAGACAAGTAACTCCAGTCCTTCATCGGAAGAACCGTCTAGTACGTGTGAAGACTACGAGTAGTATCGGAACACAGGCTGTGAAGCTTGAACCTCAAGATGACGGAGACTCGGTCTCAGCGACGTCTATATTCCCACCGCTCTCTCCACAGAGTTTCTGGTCTCCCGTACCAGAGAGACCAACTTCGTTCGATTTCACAGAAAATTCCATCGCGAGAACACAGCTACCTTCAATCACAGAGAAGCGGTGCAATTGCCCTAGACACGAAACTTTGATGGCAGGGGAAGACCGACAGGATACGCAGGGCATCATCGTACCCACCACTCTGGCCATGGAAGTTCCAAGCACCAAAGTCAAAGACCAATCGAATTCGATCTGCGAATACGATACGAGCAATGCGGATCAACGACACGCTGTGGAAGATGGGATACTGAAATGGGTCGACGCGACTAGAGATCGCAGTATCTTCTCCGCTATGGATTCCCCACCGAGTACGAATGCCAGCATCAGCAATCGGGGTTTTCCAGCTGTACCAGCGCAAGTCTTGGGTACGATAGACGCTTCAATACCATCAACAAGAACGCTTGTCCTTGAGCTTTGGAATAGTCTTCAAGACAACGACCGAGGCTACGATACTCGCGAGCCATCGCTAGTTTGTGGAACTCCATCGTACGATATCGATGCTATAATCTCACCGCGAACGACAGAGAGAGGTTCTGCGTCAAATGGCTCTTCGAAGAGCTCTGCAACGTCGAATCTATTCTCAACTGGGGGAGCCAGAAAGAGTAGTCTTTCCCCAGGCATAAGGGCTTCAGGGCGAGACGATGAAGAGGATCAACTTCCTCGGAAGAAGCCGAATAGACAGCGAGATCCGGCTCATTCGGACGCACCGGATCGACCGATATATTCTGATCAGATGCCTTGTCCACTGCTTGAAATGCATCAATGTCAAGGAACGAACACCACGATATCGGAGCTACTAAGAAGCCTGAAAGTTCGCCACCGAATCGTCATATGCAAGGATTGTTGCAAACTTTTGCCAATCGAGGATTTAGAGAAGAAAGCGGGTGATGTGCTGCAGAAACATACCTCAGAAGGTTGCGAGCCACGTTGCATTGGCATTTCCTGCTCTGATCGCTTGGCCGACACAGCGTCTCATCATCGTCGGTCCGAGAGGTGCCCTTCCTGGGCGACACTCTCTAAAGAAGAGAGATGGAAGTTCATATGGAAGCTAGTGAATCCTGGATCAGACTCACTGGAGCCCAACTTCCTGCCAGGGCCTGGTTTCGAGCATAGCCAGATACGGAGGCCATCCAAACGACAAGCTCTTGCCAGGGGCAATGAGATATGCGCGCAGCTCATGCGAGATGTTGAAGCCAAAGAGAGACGTATCAGTACACTAGAAAACGACTTGATCACAACGAAGAATGAGAATGTGCAGTCACAGCGACGATGCAACGAGAAGATAGACAATCTGGAGAACATCATTGAGAGTCTATTAGAACGGCTATGCGAGAACAATATCGGCCTGCCAGGATCATTGCGAAAGCGGGTGCAGAATGAGTGCCCCCAGGTCACGGCTACGATCCTTGCCAAAGACATACAAACAGCACCCACGCCATCGCCATTGATTTCTACGCCGAACCCTGGTTACTACTCAGTTTCAGATGTGTCACCAACGTGGCAAAACAATTCTTGGCCACCACCAGCAATGACCACGATACCTGCAACCTGGGGTGCGGTCCCTCAGCAAATGGTTGAGCCAAACCCAGGTTACTACTTCCCAGAATTTAGTGAACAAGCTCCTACGACAAGTGCGATGTATCCAACCAATGCCTATGTTCCAGATTCGAAGTTAATGAGCATATTTCCTAGTACCATGTATGCACAAGTCAAAAGACACAGCTCTTCCGGAACACCGGAGACCCTACAGCCGTATGAGTGACGGGAACAAGACTATGGCGGCACACCTGCCGAATGTGTGCGAAGAGAACTTTTCCGTTTCGTTTTCTCTCGGATGTGTGTCACCGAGAGACGTTGTCTATATATCACACGTCACGGTTTCATTCATGGTGTCGCTTCACTAGCGTTCTTACTGTGCAACATTTGAGTATCTCTTACTCGGTCACAGCTCCGAACAGTTTCTGCTACAGCTGTAAACTCATCTCATATATTTCTCGCAGGGTTCTTCTGCCAAAAACATTCTAAATGCCATGGGACTTAGCTAGCTCTTCGTCCACTACAAACAACATCTTCCCCTTAATCGCACTTCCATGAATAAGAAGCTCATGCGCTTCAATTGCATCGCTCAGTCTCATCAGTTTCGCGATGACCGGGTCCAATTTCCCTTCCCTCACCTTCTCTACAAGCGCAAAGAATTCCGCCACTTCTTTCTTTGGGTATTCAATATCAAGCGCCCAGAAGCTTACTCGCGGTGGCTGCAGTATTGCTTCAAGGAGCTCGTCGACGTTCGCCAACATCTTACTCCCATCTGCAGCGATGCCCCCCATAACTCCGAAGACGACCACTTTGCCGACGTCTTGCTTGGTTGCTGCGAGGAAGTCTTGGACGCTCTTTTCACTACCAACACCGTCGTATGCGACATCCACCCCCTTTCCATCCGTCAGCCCACAAAGCTGGTCCACAAGATCCGGGGCGTTTCGGTCAAGCGGTTCCACACCCAGTGAGCGCACGTAATCGAACTTGCTCGGCGAACATGTACCGAACATCTTGATGCCCATGTCGAATGCCTTGACAAGTTGAGCCATAGCTGTTCCAAGTCCTCCACTCACACTCCCGATCAGGATGCTCGAGCCAGGTCGTAGATCGACACCACTGTGCTTCAACAGGCCCCATGAAGTCATGTAGTTTAGTGGAAGTGCGCACGTCTTCAGCAGGTCGTCTTCCAGTTGCAGTTTCATGACTTCTTCGTGTGGCAAGACGATGTGTGTAGCGTGTGAGCCGAACATGCTCAACGCTGCGACTCTGTCTCCAATGTTCAGCTCTCTTCCCTTTGGAACAGCATCGCCCAGCGCAACTATCTCGCCTACGAGGTCATATCCAGGTGTGAAGCCGGGTGCCTTGGCTAGGGGATGAGGGTAACCGCCGACACGCTGAATATTGTCGACTCCAGCGATACCAGCAACCAGGATGCGAATAAGCACTCCGCCAGCAGATAGCGCGGCCATGGGATCGAATGCCTCCCATTTTAGCACGGATGGCTTGCCGAATTCTGTTATAACCCAACGGCCTGGTGAGGTTGGTGTGGGTGACGTGTTGGGCGTGGAGAGTGATGGAGACATAGTTTGAATGAGTTAGGAAAGCGCTTGTTCAGTGTATGGAGGTATCTGAATTGGTCAATGCAGAGAACGGAGACTGTGTCAGCTATTTATCGATGTAACGTATGTCTCGTACTACCGCCCGAACCTGTTATGTCCGATTCAAGTACTAGAGTTGAGCCTCTTGTGTCCGATTTTATAGTTTCACTAACAATGGCACGCCTTACAGTAGGACAAAGTCGCATTTATAATCTTGAATATCCGAATTTTGTCAGCAAGTACGAACTGTACATGCAGAACCATAGCGAATGAACAGCGACCGGCCCCTCACGTCACCAACTCCGGTCCTCGTTCGCCATTTCCCCGACTAACACCATCTGCGCCAACAACCCCACTACAAGCTCTCAGAAGCTCTTCCCGTCGACAGACTTGCGCTTCAATTTCTCAATCTCAACACCCTGCAGCATGCGTGCATTAATACACGTCATACCGGTAAAGAAACTGGGATCCTTGGAGCGGATCATGCATGATGCACCGCAGGTACCACAGAAGTAGTGGCCCATTCTCTTAGTTCCGAAAGAATAAGACTGTGAACTAACATCAGCTGACCTAATCTTTTGCGGTATTTACTATGTTGCTAGTGACATATTTGCCTACCTTGAACTGCTCGATGCTACCGTTTGAGAAGACGATACGCTCGTTGGGCACATAGATAAGAAGATAACCGTTCGATACGCAGATACTGCAGTTACATTCCACTAGGACCGCGCTGGGGTCATCAAGAGGTGGAGACGCAGTGACGGAGTACTTGAATGCGCCGCAGTGGCATGATGCGTCGTAGGTTTTGGTTGGAGCGTCGGCTGGGGGCGCGCCAGGAGGACCGGAGTTGGACTTGCCAGAATCGGACATGATGTAGTAGTTGAGGAAGCTTTGCCTTCCGAATTTGGTATGAGATGGTTCAGAACAGTAGTCTGTTTTTGTGTGCCTAGATACAGCAGGTGAGGTTGTTGTTAGAGAGGATATTTATTGAGATCTAGTGGCTGCTGCCTAAAGTGTCGCATTGCATCTACGTCCAAGCTGGGAAACTCCACTTCGCGTAAGAGTCGCGTTGTCATACGTAGGGCGCCCTGTTGCTAACGCCAATAGGATGTACCTAGGTGTTGGCACACACCGGCGGCTTCTAAGTACATAGCGCCTTCCCCATGAAATCAGCTAGCTTTGGAACACTCTCCTCAGTATCAGCATACAAATCGAGATGTCCTTTTCCTTCAATGACGAAAAGTTCCTTCGGCTCCTTGGCCTTCTTGATTGCGTCCTTGCTGTAGCAAGCGGTATCGGCTGGGCCTCCATTACCCGTGTCTGCCAAACTTCCCGTAATCATCAACAGCGGTCGCGGAGAGATCCAGTCGATGAAAGCAAGAGAATCGTATGTGGAAAGCTTTTCGAAGCTCCTCACAAGCTGCAGATTGTTACATTTGGGATGGTACCCGCGGGGAGTCAGATAGTATGACTTTGCCTCTTCGAAAACGTCTAGCGTGCTGAATGCGGCAGGCTTTCCTCCATTGGCTTCTGAGATGCGTTCTTGCGCTGCAAAACTCAGGCGCTGATGCAGTGTTTCTGGGTTGATGTTTCCAAAGTCGTCTCTCAAACTGTTGCGATGCATACCACCCAAGCAGACGCCGACTACGGTCGCCACGGCCTTCATGCGTACATCAGTCTGTGAAGCGAAGATTGCGTAGCCTCCAGAAGCACAGATTCCAACAACTCCGATCCTTTCGGGGTCAACGTCGCCGTCAAGAGTTGAAAGGAATGTTACGGCGCTCTTGAGGTCCTCGACTCGTTGGTACGGATCTTCTAGGTAACGTGGCTCGCCTTCGCTCTCACCTTGGAAGGCTGCATCGTACGCGAGAGTGATGAAGCCATGTTCGGCTAGCTTTCTGGCATATAATCCAGACGCTTGTTCCTTGATAGATGTACCGGGGTGGCCGACAATAAGGGCGGCATTTTGGCGGTCTGGTGCGTTTGGGGAGGGTAGGTATAGATCGCCGATTACGTTGATGCCATGGCTGAGGAAGTTAACTTTGCGAACAGTGGCCATCGCAGTTGATGCGTAAGAAGAATCGGGTTGCTTGGTAGTTCGTGGAAGCAAGTTGATAAGGATACGTAAGAAACGATGGTCTTATTCGTCTGTACGAGCTGCTCAAGGTTTCTGCTAAACGCTGACGTGAAATGCCAGGTGTTTATGTATCCTTGCCAAGAACATGTGTAGATTCATAGGGACTACGATACCGCCGCGATACTCACTATGCTTGTGTTTGAGCCTGTACTTCCAGTTACCCCCCGGCTGAGGCTCCGTCAGCACTCATTCGTTCCCCGGACATTCATGTCGCATACCACGCTCAAACGTCTCTAGTATTGACGCATATTGCTAGGATGCCAGCACCCGGATTTAGGGTTTAGGGACTTTCTCGGCCAAGGTTTCGCGCGCATCCGATCGCATACATTCGTCCGCGCACCAATAGAAGGTTGGGGATTTTCCCCGACCTCAGCATCGCCCACTTCTTTTCTCAACCATGAGCTGCGACATGAACTCGAAATTTTCTTAACGCTGGATGATAACTTTTCATGCAATGATATAAAGGACGCGTTACAGGATCTTGCAAACCGATGGGCTGTGATTGGGAAATGCTTGAGTTTGCGATGTTGAACTGCGCAGCTGATATTCTGGTATCAAAAGTTAATGACACCGGCCCAACATACTCACGCTGTATCATAACTCTGAACTGATGCTGGGCGTGTAAGACAGTGAATACCATCAATATCTCTAACCCGCTCGAAGGCCAGCGACTGTGGCAATAGATCAAAGCTTGGAGCCGGCAACATTCGAGCACAGTCCGACGAAGACCATCATCATAGTGCGGGGCTATCAAACGACGAGAGTGGAGTCCAACATGGTATTCGATGGCCAAGAACGAAAAGAAGTGAAGAGCACATATACTTATCCCGGTATGATGTGTGTGAGTGAATGACATAGACGTACTCCCCTCTGGTAGGGAGCGCGGGTTCTCTTCGATGGTTCAGCATACAGGACAGCGGCAAGCACCGACTTACCTTCTGACAACGATCAAGGGCTGGGATAGATGAGATGACTTCACAGAAACCTAAAGGTGATCAGCGTGTAAAGTGGTTGCAGATTATCTTTTTGTTACCATAAGAGGTCCTAAACTGAAGTGGCCTGGTAATGGCGACTCATGCTCTCTCTGATCTTAGCGTACTGTAACGCCGCATACTCCGATCCAACCCTACTGTGATGTACATGATAAGCTAGACAAGCCCAGACCCTGACAGGGTTGGCCTACCATTGTTCCAACTATAACCAATTCCCAGTTCGCTGAAAGCAAGAAAGTGCAACAAATCCCCGGGGTAGTGGCCCCAGGAAAGAAAGCAAAAGAAGGTACTGGGGATCTTACGTTTAGATGAAAATATCCAGCTCATGTCTCCTGACCTCGTCCTCCTCGAAAGTTGGGAAAGCTGGGACCATGGCGTCGGCGTTCTGAACGTAGGCATCGTTGTAGATGCGCCAGTAAGGGTTTCGCACTTTGCGTGCTGGATGGAAGAGACCAGCCCAGACGTAGTTCATGACAAGCGGGGTACCGATCGCGTTGCGGACACCTTCGATAGCCTCGATGATGCGGTCGATGACGTGAGGACTGGTTTCGAACAAGTTTGGCCAAAGAAGGTTGAGCAAGTGAATCATCGCGTCTTCGCAGTCGAGACCGACACAGCCAAGAGCAACGTGCTTGACGACCGAAGCGGCAGTCTGGCGATGCACTTGATCTCGGTCGATGAGAGCATCCTCTAGAAGTGGTGTGATGGCATAGACATAGTCCTTTGCCATCTCGCCGATGTACTCGAACATGAAGGACAATGATTTGAGGACACCATTCTGTACGTTGAGCTCCGGTACGCGGTACTCGTTCATAAGAGCCGGTAGGACAGTGAAGGGCGCACAAGTTTCGGCGACGATACCAATGGCGACGGCAGTACAGACACGGGACTGACGCTCCTGAACTCGAAGATTACCAAGCAAAGTGGCCAGCACATCCTGGGGACCGATAGCTTTGGCAATATAACCGAAGGTGTTGTTGGCAGCACGACGAATACCCTTCTTATGAGCCTTGAGCATGTCCAAGAGTTCGAAGCAGATACGCATCCACTCACGAGGGTTGACGTAGTTTGCACCTCGATCAGCAATACGTCCTACCAGATCGATGGTGTTCTCCTGTACCTTCTCATGTCGGTTACGAAGGATGGGTGTAAGACGGGGCAACAGATCCTTGATAGGCGGTTGCATGGCGTGGAGACCGACGACTGTGACGATAGCACGAAGAGCACCGAGAATGGAACCAAGAACCTCAGGATACTCCTCACCAAGGTATTCGTACAACGCCTGCGCAAGCTTGATGAGTTGTGGGTCCTCGTCGCACTTCTGCATCACGAAGGTGATTCGCGAGATGAGATCTGCTGCTTGCTGACGGACGGTTGCGGATTTGTTGTTGAGCCTAGCAAGAACTGTTGCGACGATCTGCGGGAGATAGGTCTTGGTACGCTCACCCAGTGCGTTGACGACCGTAGCAAAACCGTCGATGACAATGGGGTCCTCGATGGTTTGGTCCTGGAACGCAACAAGCACACCATCAATTAGCTGTTCTTCCAAACGCTGGTCGACGTCGTGCGCTCCTAGTGTGCTGATAACCTTGTCGACAGTCTCGACAGTCATCTTGCGGTATGCTTCGTTCTCGTCCTTCATGTTGTTAACAATCCTGCCGACGATCTCAGCAACACCAGCTTTCTGCGCCAGGTCCACGGTCGTGTCCACCACTTGTCGGTAGTTGCGCTTGTCAAGAGCCATGCGGCGTACCCAGAAGTGCTTGAAAAATTCAGGGAGAACATTGTCCTTGAGGTAGACTGGGGTTACTCCTGCGGTGTTCGAGCACTGAGAAACGACCTTGAGCACGACCTTCTTCATCTCTTCATCGGGTGATTGAAACTCGCGAATGACGATCTCCATGATCTGACTGGTATAGTAGTTGGAATACTCCTCGTCCATGAGCGGGATGACATAACCGACCGCCTTCAGGAAGGATGCAAGAGCCTTACCACGTTGGCGACGGGCTCCGGTCCAGAGAGGGTTCAGAATATCGTCGAATGACTCGATACCGTACGGGCTCGCGGCTTCAGCTAAAGCTGCAAGTGCAAGAGCTGTGACCATGCGGACCTTTGGCTGTTCGTCATTCAGGTTGTCGCCGATACACTCGACAAGTCCCTTGAGGTGAGGAAGAATAGCACAACCCATAAGGATAGGGATCTGCTGAACAATTTTCACACCAGTGTGACGTGCGTGCCACGACTTCTTGGATCGACACACAGCGCGGAGGAAAGGAAGGAGGGCGGGGATACCGAGGGCAGATGCAACGACGGCGAAGGCTCGAGCGGTGGTGTTTCGGACGTATTCGTCTTGGTGGTCTAAATCGGGACGCATCGTACTGATCATGTGTGCGAGACCAGCGGCCTTTGCAAGGTTAGAAATAATCTCTCGACCTTCGACACGGGCGTAGTAGTCTTGGTCGATAAGGAGAGGCTCAATGACGACGAGGATCTTGTGGACGTAGGGCCGAACAAGGTCGTCGAGCTTGTAGAGGACACGATCGATGACTTTGACGAGCAAGTGGCGCTCTTGATCCTCCAACGTGCGCTCCATGAGCAGAGGCAAGATCTGGTTAAAAAGGGCTCCAGCACCGAACTGCCGAGCGTTGTCGGTAAGTTGTCGAAGCGCAGTCTTTCGCATGGGTGGTGTTCCGTTCTTGACCTTGAGCAAGAGTCGCATGATCTTGCGCTCCTTGAGTTCCTCGACGGTCATATCGTTCTCGTCTGCACCGTCTGTGAGCTTTCCAAAGTATTTCATGTCCTCGTTCTTGAAGAACTGAAGATCACCGACACCTGGGATCTCGGTGGGCAGCTGCTTGCCCATGGCAGCCAAGCTGTTGTCTGCTTCCGGAAGCAAGAAGCCTTGGTATCCCGTGGGAAGTGCTGGCATGCCCACTGGTCGCCGCACTGGCTCGTACCCCGGAGGAGCCTCGAGGACCTTGTAGCCTTCAGCCTCACCAGGCAGCATCATGTCGAGCTGCTCGTCGGATAAGGGAGCATTGCGGTTGGAGATATCGGTGCCGAATGCGAACGTCTGCGCGACTGGACGGGCGCCGTTGGTGGCGGGAGCAGGCGTTGCGGCGCTGGCGGGGGCTACAGCTGTGGTATCCCAACGCGATCGAGCCGGTTGAGCAGCCTCAGCGGACTTGTCTTCTGCCTTTTCTTCCTCGGGTGCCGGTGACCATCGCGATCGCTTCTTGGGCTCGCCATCTGCCGTGGTCTCGTCGGCCTCTTCTTTGATCGCAGGTGTTTCGCCGTCGCCGCTCTCATCCCAGCGTCTCCTCTTGCGAGTCTTCTTCATGGGTGGGGTCTTGTCGCCATCGACAGGGGCGGATCCGTCGTCCTGGAGCGTAGGCTTGTGGTCGAGGACTTCGTTGCCTCCGTCCCTCTCCCTCTCCTCGATGAGCCTCTTCACACGCGCCTCTTCGCGCTCGAATTCGCGTTGCTTCATCACGTCCTTGTACGACTGGCCGCCATCTTCGCCATCCTTCGCGAATGGATCCGCTCGCGACGGAGAAAGGGCGCGGTCGAATCGTCGTCGTTGGTAGTCGGTTTCGCGTGATGCGATCTGAGCCTGCTTCTCGCGACTGTCGAGGATATCCGCCTCTCCGGCATCACCATGCGCAAACTCGTTCATCATCTCCTTGGATGCCGTGTATTGGCCCACAAGGCTCCGGCCGTTCAGCTGCACGTCGTCCATGTCGGCGTCGTCATCGGCAACGGCGATGGAACTGACGTAGTCGCCATTGTTTCCGCCGTAGAGCTCCTTGTCGAGGGGCTCGTTGAGCGATTGCTTGTTGTTGGACGTGTCCCCGTTGGCGGCGCCGTTGGCCCTCGAGTTTCCTGCGCGCGGTCCGGCCATGTTTGCAGCAGGTGGTGACGGGTAGATTGGGGTTGGGGTGATTGGGGCGACGACACCGTGAGCTTCTCCAAAGTTTCGCGATCCAGGGCTTGGCAGAGCGGCCGCATTGGCACTAGCGTGAGCGGCTTAGTCACCAACCCCCTTCCGCTCGAAACCCATGGCTTGGAGTCTCAACACAGGCGTGCAAAAGGTCGCCAGGCTGCATCACGTCGCTGCAAGGCCCACAGACAATGACTTCATCGATACCCGCCACACCCAAGCCGAGCGGCGCAGCCTCTCTTCTCACTGTGCCCACGCCTGGTACCCTAGTCCGCCTCGCAATATATCGAAATGCGGCACAGCCATCTACCAACGGGCGAACGCAGGTCATATAGCATTGTCCGTCCACTCACGCCAGCTTTGTGTGCATTGTCCCTGGGTTCAACTCAGAGTTAAAGTTCTAGTTTACTCATCGGCGACAGATGCCAGAGCCTGCAAGAATGCGGGCCCGACACGTTGCTTCTTCTGATCGTCCCGAACATCTTACATGTGTGCTGCATGATCTTCGAAGGCGCGAGATAGGCCTGGACTGATCCGTCTTGAGTTCTGTCGCCTTGGTGGCGCCTAGCCTGCATGCGCGTCTCCCTACAATGGGTGGCACACCAAGTGGCTACTCATCAGCAAAATAGATCCCAAGAAGCCGAGGAGCTCCAGGTCTCCCATGTCTCGAGCACCAGAGGCGACAGACCCACTCCAGAAACTAAATTGAAGCACAGGCACGACAGCGGGCACTGTTCGTCAGTCGATTATGTGGCTCGCTGATCTTTTTCGTTACCTGAGATTGCGCCAGCCATCACGCGATGCTCACACCGCCAGCGCGAACCACGCGTCGTCATCGTGATACTTCGCAGCCTCATGTCGACGCAGTTAGAACCATTGCAGGAGATTTTGTCAATGGCCACAAGTGTCGGCATCGCGTGGGCTATCCGTAGCCATGCCCACCAAGCCCTACTACTGGTTCTAAAAATACGTCTCACGCAGCGGGGACCACTCAAAACCGCCGAACTACTCTGACTGCAGGCCTCGCAATACGGGCCCTAGCAACGAATAATCGAAGGCGCAGTGTTGCGCGAGCCAAGCTAACGGTGATTTACGCAGCTCCGGGCTTTCTGCGCAAGGGCTTGAAACGGATTGTCGGTTCTGTGCTGCTGCCAGCCACACAGTAAAGTCGTACCGTGCCGGGGTCCGTGGTAGTGGTAGGGTCGCGGCATGTTGCTGATATGGAGGGACGCTGTCCCACGCTCTTACGAGGGGTTGATCCTGCCTCTTGTTTTATTGTGTTGCTCGTGCCCACTGTTTCATCCCCCCCAACCACGTTCGCTGTCGTTGGTATTTCTCTAGGCCTCCCTCGTTTCGGCTGAACGGCTTCACAACTATGGCGGCTGTGGCGCAGAGTCATGTTCAAGATGACGTACATCCACTTCTGAGGCATCCACGGCCGATTAAGAGGGATTCTGCAAAGGCGCAACGCATGCTTGGCTTGATCGCAGATTCTGAGGAAGCTCTAAGAAATTTGCAACGCGAAAAATCGGTAACAACACGATGGTTGGAACGACCGATGTACGAGCATTTAGAGATTTCCGATGTCGAAGAAGAAAAAGACGAGTCTCGAGCGGTAATACAAGAGCAGAAAACGGAGGCCGTCGTCGAAAAGGTAGTGATTGAGGACAAACCAATCGAGGAGAAGCCAAAGGAGGACAGCGACTCTGACCTGCTGGACAAATGGACGAATCCGAACCGCCCGGCTTCCTCTTTCAATCCCGAAGAAACATTGAGCAAGCTTCCGGAGACAGAATCAAGCACGAAAGTCAATACATCCCCGATTAAGCGACGGCCGCTACCGCTCACACGACCGACATCATACAACGCGCAACACCTGTTATCGCCAGAATGGATTGCTTCGCCAGCCACTATGAGCCCTAATACACCAGGTCAAGGGCCTGCATCATCGTATCTTGACAGTTCAGACAAGCCCAGGAGCAGCATTTCTTCCCGCGGCAGTTGTGAATGTGAGAGGCCACAAGTAAACCCTACGCAGTGGACATATCCACCGATGAACGATGCAAACGGTGCACAAACGCAACGACCCATCTCATATCACCCTCAAAGCTCCACTGCACTCGACAGCCCGCCAATGCAGCCGCGACCACGACCTACATCCTTCGCGACCTACCACCAACGAAATCGCTCCGGAACCAAGATTGCCTCATCGCGAGGACTACGGAACAACAGCTACCCACAAAACCGCTCGCGACCCGTGTCAGGGTGTGCACCTAAAGCCATCGCAGGGGAGAACATTGAGAATGACATGGTTTATCAGCAGTACGGGGATGACGAAGTCGGTCCACCCACGCCTGTAACATCCTCGAAACTTGCGTTTTCACCCCCTCCAGTCTTCTCTGCTACGCCAGCAACACCAATACACCCCACGTTGGATGCCTTCGCGACATCGGAAGAGAAGAACAAACCAGAGAAGAAGATCAAGCACAGATGGTCAACCATACCGCAAGCGTTGAAGAACTTTGGCGCTAGGAGAAGAGACTCTTCAGCTCAACATGAGCAGCAAAAGTTTGCAACCGTTGTCGAAGATCTGCGGAGAATGAACTTAACACAGGAAAACCTGCAGGTCTACGAAGCCGAAGCCAACCAGGACCCAGCAGCATCCAAACGTCTCTCGGCGGTCGACCTCATCCCGACACCAACCTACTCGCCCTTTGACATGAACGTCAAGTCAGCCCAACTCGAAGCACCCCTTCCAGCACCCTTCGCGCCCTGGACTGATGCCCCACCAAGTCCCGCCGCCTCCGCAGAGCGACGCCGCAGCAGCGGAAACTCGCTATCACCAACTACACTACCCTCACAGCTATCCGCCGAAAACTTACGCCAAGTACGTCCAGTATCGATGCAATCTCAAGCACGGCCTGTTTCGATGCAATCCCAAGGACGTCCTGTTTCGTGGCAATCCCAAGCACGCCCAGTATCGATGCAATCCCAACGTAGCAGCATAGTCGCCCTGCCTTCCCCGAACATCACCTGCACAGCTCCCCAACTATACCAGCGCCCCGCCTTCGACGCTTCTCTTAGCCCTCGGGCAATGACCCCTAGTTCCCGCCGCAACACACCAGCCATTGAGCGCACGTGCATTCTGTGCAAGACGTCAAGGCCAGTATTCGAGTTCAGCGAGCGCAGGATCACAGCGAATTGTTGGCACGAGCCTGCGACTTGCGTTGGGTGTTTGCAGGCGTGGGTCAGACAGTGTTCGGGTATGAATGGATTGGATGGATGCACATGTCCTGAGTGTGGAGAGGTCATGGCGAGGGAAGATGTTGGGGCTTGGGGTGAGGTGTCACCGATTTGAAGCGGACGATGGTACACATTATTTGGTAGGAGGACTTTATGATATGTCTGCTTGTATATATTTAAGCATGGTAGCGCTCTTACATTCGTTTGCTTCGTTCTCTTCAGCTAACGCAACGCATCGGCCGTTCATTTGCAGTGGTCAGGCTGCTTTAGTATAATGTATTCAATATAAGATTAACTCTTTATGTAAACACCTGGTATCTCCACATCTTGTTACGCTAACTGGCCAGGTTTACGATATTTACCTTCGGTAAGGTATCGTTTGAATGGAGAGATGTCACCTAGTCACTACACAAACACGGTGCACACATGATGGATAATGAAGTTGGTATAATTGTATAGGAAATTCGTAGCAAGTCGTTACATCTGAAAACTCCGCCTTGAGTGAAGAAATGTACATTGGGCTTACCACAGCCCAATGCGCCATGAATAAAAGCTCTGTCACCGACCCAATTTGGTGACGTTTCTCAGTCACCTCACTGGACGTTGGGCGTGGTCGCAGTCCACAGAGTGTCACGCTCAGCAGCGGGCGGGGTGTTGACACACTCTGTCAAGAAAGCGTGCCAGCCCTCGATGGTGGCCGCGTCAAGACCGGCTCTGACCTCCGCACTGCACGTAGTGACGTACCAGGCCGCCGAACCGAAACTCTTCTCGTCGTCGGAGTTCACGAGGTCGAGAACGGCATCGACTCCAGTGGCCTTTGCTGTCGCGACGGCGTCTGCACCTGCAATAGCGGTTGCGTACTTCTCGATAATGGGGGGCATGGCCATCACTAAATACATAAGTCAGTTTCTGTGACATGGGCAGTTCATCTAACAGCGTTACTTACTTCTTGTGCCCTGGCCAGGCCTACCTGGTTCGGGAAAGTGGTTCCTCTTGTACTTGAAGTTTCCGCTCTCGAAGAGCTCATACGCGACGATCGCGGCCCTCTCGCCCTTGGATGTGATCTTGTAGGTCTCGAAGGCCTTGTTGATAGCAGTAGCGGCTGCAGTTGCATCTGCACACTCGTCGGGGAATGGTGCACCGTCGCAGGACGCGGTGGTGGGGGCGATGGCGATCAAGTTGTCAGCAGTCAGGCTCGCCTCGGTGGTTGGGGCATCTGCTGGGGGAGCTGCCGGTGCACCGTCTTCGAGGTCGCAATCGGGGCCCCGGGCGGGAACAGGTGCTGCGAAAGCGCAGAGTGCAAAGGCACTTGCGACGAGGATGTTCTTCTTGAAACCCATGTTGTTGATCGGCTGATTGGTGGAGTATGTAGGTATATAGTTGTAAGGTCGGTGATCTTTGATGATGTTGGTGTATATATAATGAGTGATGTTTGAGGCCAAGTCTGGTGCGAGGTGATGGTCTTAAGTAAGAAGAAGCTCTTGAATAGGCCGAGCGCAAAAGTTGTATTGTAAAGTGAGTGGCCGGAACAGTGTTCTTGAATGAGTGACGTTGAATGGAATTTGCTTCAGGCCTGCAGAAGCTAGTGATCTAAACAAGGGATTGAGAGACCGTGAGGAGGCAGTGTATAGAGGTGATAAAGGAAGGTGACGGCCAAGATATATGACCTTAACCGCGCCACGACGCGCGCCTCTGGGCCCCCCTTCAGGTGCGCCGTCAGCACAATAGTCAGGAACCCGTCTTACCGTATTCCCCAGATCAACGAGCAGTGACGGCCAATCATTGCCTGTGCGAGGTGACGAACAATGCACGTGAATACGCATTGTGCGACTGTGATTGGTTCTGCGCCACCGAGCTGCCGGGGATGTTCGAAACATGAAACGAGCGAGGTCAAGCTTTCGCCAATGCCGCTGGACAGGAGTTAGACAGGAGTTTAAACAGCTTCCCGTGCCACCGCAACAAAATTATAGGGTAATTGTGGGACGATAGGCATCCAGCGAAGAGTTGAATGGGGCATTCTGGTTGGTCGCGGGCGGAAGAAAGGTTGTTGCGGCTTACGAGCTTGTCCACGGGTGTCTCAGCCCTGACCCGCCGCAAATGTGATAGCCGTAAGTAAGGCGGAACGTTGCACCGCTTGGTTTGTACAGTAGCTGATCTTTCCCAAATCTTTCAGTCGCGTTTACCCAAGGCATACGGCAATTCTCCTACCTTGTGCCGTTATGGAGTTTACCTTAACCCCGCATGACGTGACATCATGGTAGTTGCCGTCCACGGTGGGGCAACTGCTTCTCTATGCCTAGGTGTCCTGCCCCTCATTTGAGCTCATACACAACCAAAACTCCTCTTCATCAGATTACTCATAATAAACAAGCAAAATGCCTGCCGTCGAGACAAAGTTTGACCCCAAGGAGTAAGTCACGCCAATTGCTAGTATAGAAGGGTCTGCCCGGATGCGTGGTTACGTCCGATTTCCAAATTGACACATGTATTTTACATCTGTTTCGTCCGAGCGTTTGCTAATGTCGATATAGCATGCAGTTCCGTCGCCTTGGACCCGCTGGGTTGAAGGTCTCGGTCCTGTCCTTGGGAGGTTGGTTGACATACGGAGGAACGCAGAAGGGTTCCATCGTGAAGGACTGCATGCAGGAGGCCTGGAACCACGGCATCAACTTCTTCGACACCGCAGAGGTATACGCAGCAGGCGAGTGTGAGCTTGAGATGGGCAAGGCTTTCAAGGAGCTGCAATGGCCGCGTGACGAGTACGTCTTGTCGACAAAGGTAAGATCTGTCCATCCTCATCACGCCATGAGTGGAAACTGACAGTACTGGAAAGGTCTTCTTCGGAACTCAGAGGAAGGAGCCAAACACCAGGTAAGATGGCCGCCTTACACCCTTCCAACCTGTCTAACGAATGTGTAGGGGTCTATCCAAGAAGCACATTGTCGAAGGTTTGAAGAGCTCCTTGAAGCGTCTTGACCACGACTACGTCGACGTTGTGTTTGCTCATCGCTACGATCCTGAGTATGTATTAGCTCTCTGCTCTAAGTACCCACTAACGTACGTTTAGCGTTGGCATGAAGGAGATCGTCGAAGCCTTCACGCAGACAATCCAGATGAACTTGGCATACTACTGGGGTACATCCGAATGGTCTGCGGAGCAGATCCAGGAGGCATGCGACATCGCCGAGAAGTACAACCTAATCGCCCCTATCGTGGAGCAGCCTCAGTACAACGCTTTCCACCGCGAACGCTTCGAGAAGGAATACGCTCCATTGTACAAGAAGTACCAGTACGGCACGACCATCTGGTCACCTTTGGTAAGAACTCAGAACGAACCTACTACATCCAAGATCTATGCTAACGCGTGTACCAACACTTAGGCTTCGGGCATGCTGACTGGCAAATACAACGATGGCATTCCGTCCGACTCCCGATTCGCGACTAACCCCGAATTCTTCAAGAACTCAATCGAGGCGTTGAAGAGCGACGAGGGACAGGCTAAGATCAAGAAGGTCAAGGAACTGACTAAGATTGCTGAGAAACTTGGAGGCACCACGACTCAACTCGCGCTTGCCTGGGCAGCTAAGAACCCGAATGTGTCTACTGTTATTCTTGGCGCAACGAAGCCCGAACAGGTAAAGGACAACTGTGGCGCTCTCAAGTTGCTCGAGAAGTTGACACCGGAGCTCATGGAGGAGATTGAGAAGATCCTCGACAACAAGCCAAAGCTATAAGCACTCGCAGGAGCCCAATGATTACTCAACCGTTCTAGAGCATCTAGAGCAGACTATACAGTACAATGGAGGACCTGAGACCAGCCTTGCTTTCTAATTGCTTTGTGATGGTACGCTCAAGTAGGCGCTATGTCGTAAGGGTCGACGTCAGGAAATATAGCGATTGGCTGCCCCGCAAAATATATATACCGCACAGCGTGACCGTACGGAGTAGGCAACTGCATGTCTAAGTGGATAGCTGTTATACGAAGTACGTTGAAGTGTGGTAGAGGAGAATGCACCCGCCACAGGAAGGCGTGCCCGAGGCCTATCGGGGCCGAGGTGGCTGGGCCATTTCTTGATACCACCCAGCCCTGGCCATGCATCGCCCATGACACAATGCCATGGGGTATTTTGCGCGCCGACCCTTTGTTTTTGCGCTGTAAAGCTGGGATGTTGGGTGTCGCACGGCGCCACTGCACTGCGCGCCAGCTGCAAGCTCTAGACCGGAGGAGCTGCAGAGCCGCAGAATGAAGCCGCTAAACACCAGCGGATCACAAGCTGCTTCCGCGCTCTGGCTGTGATTGCTCCAAAGGCTGTTTGGCTCGATCTTGTGCACTGACCGCCTCATCTTGCAACCTCCAGACCCGGATGGCAGGCAGATTCCAAATCGCTAGCTGGGGCTGTGTTCTCGCCGACGATCTCGAGTGTGTAGCGCATTATTGCGTGCATGGCTGGCTACTAAATCGCGTTGAACATCGCACTGCAAGTGTAGGAGTCGAGCTACCCTGGCACGTCCTTCCAGACCAGCGTGCCCTCTCCTGTGCTACATTCAACTCTGCGACGCCAAGGGCACCATCGCTTGTCTCAATTGACCGGCAGCTCGTCGCCCATTGCAACCGTCTCTTCATCATCGCCGTCTGGCCCAACTCGGAAGCACGGAACAGGAGGACCTCGGCCGCATTCCACTACAACTAGACGTGCCCTTCAAGTCTCGCTGCTCAAATACCCAAACACCCCACGGCAGAACCGCGGGCACCGGCTCTGTCTAC